CCACCAAGTGCCAGTGGTGCTGCAACTGGGTGTCAACTAACACTGCCCCGGGTAACACACACCTGCAACACCTCATTCAAAGTCAACTATACTGGGTGTGGAGCGGCCGTACTCAGAGACCCCCATGTAAAGTGTACTCTACACTACTTCAACCACACAGTGCCACACCGCTTTAAGTATGGCAAGTGACCCCGGATAATGACAATTATCTTGTAATGAGCCCAGTCCTCGTGTGCACGCACGCACGCACGCACGCCTCCCTTTAACACTTCAAAATCTCCAGTTGTGCCTACCTGTCCCCTCCCCACACCCCTCACCCCCACACCCACCCCCACACATCTGCTTCCACCACAACACAGGTCCTCGTCGCCCTGAGAGGACCCGAAGAGGAGATTAGTTTTAAGGTGGCCTCGGATTGAATCCATTAATATCGATTTCAATATTTTATCACTATTAAGACCAGACTGAAAGGCTGGTAGGCCACATCTGCATTTCTTAATTTAAATGACGATTTGCAACTATTTATTACATTTAGACATTTGCGATATCAGGACTTGGTACTTGATAGTAATGATTTATTAAAGAGACTAAAGTGTGGTTTACTAAGTTGATGGTTGCATTCTTTAAGAGCTCTTGAAAATACTTCAAGACCCGGGAGGGGTTTGTTCAGCTTTAAGGTGTTTACTTGTTAAAGATCTATTATACTTAGTGGTAGAGAGCTTCAAGAATGTGCCTTCATGAACTTGTGTACACAAGCATAGCTAACTACACACACACACGATCAAGATGGAACTCATTGTCTGCATGTTACTAATAATCACTTCTTTTATGTCTATCTTTCCGTGAACGACTTCCAGTGTATTTATCGTATATTCTCACACGCCAGCCAGGCTGAGGTCAGGGTAGACGGAGTGATAGTTTGATCAGTAAAGTTGTTGGTGGTGGTAATGATGACAGGTCAGCTGATGAAGCACATAATACAGGCATTATATTGTTGGTATTGTGTTATTGCCGTACTTTAATACCTGCCTCGTACAGCTGTTAGCGTGGGCATTAACCCAGCCACCAGGGTATGACCCAGCCCTCTAAATATGATCAGCTAACAACCCGGTTGAATAACCATGGACCTTGCACATTGTAAGGAGAACGGCATTCCCACTATAGGCGAAGTATAACCCGGTATAACCCAGGTACAATCAGGTATTCATTGGAGGTGTTTATCGAGTTCTCTTGAACACCATGCCAGGCCGGCCAGTTATGTCCCGTGTGTGTAGCGGGAGAGAGTTTAAAAGACTTGGGCCCCTTGATGTTGATAAGAGTTCTCGCTCTGCTTACCTATTGCATCTCTGCCTTTCAATGGGGCTATTTTGCACATTCTGCCAGGCCCACCGGTTTCACGTGATATTATTTGTGTGTGTGCAGGTTCGGAACCAGTCCTTCCAATATTTTCAAATGTAAATTATTATGCATCTCTTGCCTACACTCTTAAGAATGCAGATTTAGACATTTTAATCGGTCCCAATAATTTAGATGTTTCATCGAATGGACTCTAGCAGTAAAGGATCTTTGCACGCTCTCCAGGTCAGCAATTTCTTCGGCTTTGATGCAACAATATTCTACCCTAGATAGTACTACTGTCTTGAAGAGTATCATTGGTATGTCATCCCTTGTTTGAAAGATTTGTATTATCCAACCTGTCATTTTTCTGGCAGTCGTGATAGCTACTGTATTGTGTTCTTTAAAGGTAAGGTCTTCCCATATGAGTTCACCCAAAATCCTTTATATCGCTTTTGCATTCTATAGTGTGATTTGACTGCGTTTTATATATAATTTCAGTTTTATATTTTTGTTTTTTTCCTTAGCGCAGGAAGTTATTTTCATTAAACATCATATTACTACATGTGACCCATTGAAAGGCCTGATTTACGTCAGACTGGAGGTTTGCCGTGTCTTCTAGGATTTTCATGAGAGTGAACAATATAGTGTCAGCTACAGGGTGTACCCAGCGGGTTTTCTTCCTATTGGGGAGTGTTGTACATGCTGCTATGACGGTATGTCCACTCACAGGATGAGCGGCGCTGCCCAATAAACTCGCCCCACGGGGCAAAATTAATAAAATATATATATTAAAATATAGTGTCATCTGCATCAGATGAGAGAGTACTATAGTTTGTATGTTGACCAGACCACACACTAGAAGGTGAAGGGACGACGACGTTTCGGTCCGTCCTGGACCATTCTCAAGTCTATAGTTTGTATCCTAGTCTATGTCTGATACCAGGTTGAGGAAAAGTACCTGAGCAAGTACGGTACTCTGAGGCACTGAGCCTTTCACGGTGGATGATACGGATTTTACGTTATATTATTACACTTTGATACACTTACTACACTACACTTTCCGTTCTCTTCCTTACGAAGTGAAAAATTCCTCTGCCTACTTCGCAAGTAGTTTCTTTTGTGCGCATTTTGTGTGTGCAATAACACCATGGTCACATTTGTCAAAATGTGTCAGTTGTCAAAAACTTTTACAAAGTGTATTTTGCGTCTCTGGGTTCACCATTTGGTCCGGGAGACATCTCCCGTCACGCAGGGTGCAGTCGCGCCTCCACAGATCTCCAGTATCAGCTCTTGATACTGGTAATGGCTCAAAAGGGCCACCACTTACGGGCTATTCATGCCCGTGCCACCTCTTGGGTGGCTTAATCTTTATCAATCAATCGTCTCTGGGTTATTCGTCTGTGACAAATGTCACAATGTCGACTTATGTGACAATGGTGTTATTGCGCACACTGTAACAGTCTAAAGGTCATAAACATATGGAATGTATTAGATGAAGATCATGTCCATACTAATGCTGTACATTGGTTGAACAGGTTAAAATCAGTGTATTGAAGCAGCGACGATGGAGAAGGGTATGACACACAGAGATCACACTAACGTGATGCATCAAATGAACAAATCCACAAGGGCCGTGACGGGGATTCCAACCTGCGTCCGGGAGCATCCCAGACACTGCCTTAATCGACTGAGCTACGACAGGGTTAAAAGGGTTGAAACCGAAGGTTTCAGATTCGTGACGTAGGTTCGAATCCTCGTCACGGCCCTTGTGGATTTGTTCATGAGAAGGGTATGACTGGATAGGAGGGGGGTGGAGCGTGCAAGCACATGTAGGTGAGTACAGTGGGACACAGGTGAGCAGGTGGTGAGGTTGGTCGCCAGGTGTCAAGTGATCAGTGGCAGGCACAGGTGACACATGCTACACCAACTGCCCTCTCCTCTCACACACCCTTACCTCCTCATCTAATATCTCTAGTACTATACTGACCTATACACCAAACATGCGCGCGCACCTACACAAACACTTGAGTGTCAGTTGAGAGGCGACACCAAAGAGCCAGAGCTCAACCCCCGCAAGCACAACTAGGTGAGTACACCGCCAGTTGAGAGGCGGGACCAAAGAGCCAGAGCCCATCCCCCGCAAGCACAACTAAGTGACTAGACACACACACACAGCCAGTCAGCAGGCAGGCACGGTGGAGAGCGCTCTGGGGTGTTAGCCCCAAGGACCCAATCACAGCTTGTCCATAACTGCGGGCAACACGGGTTCAGAACAGGGCGCTGCTCCTGCCACTCACAGTTGCTGGACCAATATGACATGGCCTTAGATGCCTTCCAAAGTCAAGCAAAACGCCGACGTTATTTACACAAATTTCGCAAAAGCCTTCGACAATTTGATCATGGTGGTCTTGCGTACAAAATACATTCAAAGGGAATTACAGGAAAAACAGGCAGATGGATCTACAATTTCCTAACAAAACCAAGATGTATAATAGTCAACAAGGTAAAATCTAGAGCATCAACCGTGAAGAGCTCAGTCCCCCAGGGTACTGTGCTTGCTCCAGTACTCTCTCTCATCCTCATATTGGGCATAGACAAGGACACAAACTATAGTACTGCATCATCCTTTGCAGATGACACTAGGACCTTTATGAGAGTAGACAACATAGAGGACACCGCAAACTGATGTAAATCACATCTTTCAATGGGCCACGTCAAACAAAATGTCTAATGAAGACAAGTTCCAGCTCTTGCTATGGTAAAGATGAAACTATAAAAACGAAAACCACATAATGCAGCCAAACCACAAAATAGAAAGAAAAAGCAATATAAAAGATTTGGAAGTAATCACATCAAAAGAACTTACTTTAAAGAAGACAAATTGTCACAATTGACAAGACAAATGACAGACTGCATAAGAAAAACCTTCCAACAAGAGATGCCAGATCATTGATGGTAGTTTTCAAGACACTAGTGGTCTCTAGGGTGGAACATTGTGGCACCCTAACATCCCACTCAAAACTGGAGAATGTGCAGAGATCTTTTATTGTGTATGAAATGAACTCCTTACAAGACACGGAGGCATGGCAGGAAGTGCAAAATAGCTGTGAAGAAAAGCGAGGAGGAATATGTACGCTAGGAGACAATTATATCAATACGTGCCTAAGACTATTCAACTCTTTCCCCCATAAACATAAGGAAAGATAACTAGCCGACTTCTCGTGGTGCTGATCAACCCCATGAACCGGGCTGTGATACGTCACATACTGCAAACAATGGCGTCTAACAGCCTGATTAACCAGACCAGGAGGCCTGGTCACAGACCGGGCCGCAGTGACATTAATTCCCAGAACCAATACAATTTAAACATGTAAATAAAATAACTCATATGTCACGCCCCCTCACCTGGCGTCAACGTGCCATGGTGAGGGGAAGATGGGAGGGGAGGGAAGGGGAGGGAAGAGGAGGGAAGAAGAGGGGGAGGGAAGAGGGGAGGGGAGGGAAGAGGGGAGGGGAGGGAAGGAGGGGAGGGGAGGAGGGGGGGGTGAAGAAAGTGCAGATGTGGGTGGTGGTGAGAGGTGTTGGGTGTGGAGGGGGGGGGTACTAAGGGTAGTGTCCCTGGTGACAAGAGAGAGAGAGAGAGAGACAGTAGACACACTTACCTCTGTGACATCCATGACCTTGATGGCTGCCAGCTGACCAGTCTTGGTGTGCCGGCCCTGTCAAGTAAACACACACACATTAGCACCTCTCCACCAACACTCTGTATACACAACCTAACTATAACTGGCTCCACACCAATTACACTCCTCATATTATATATTATATATATATATCCGCATCGTATAGCATAGCATTTGACTCATCAGACTCCTATACTCAAAATAACAAACTTATTATAATAAAGCATTACGACTATAATTGCAAGAGCATTATTAAGAACATTAATATGAGTTCTACATCATCGGCAGATGCAGCATGCCTGTCAATAAGCCACCTGCTTGTGATAATAATTTCATAGTAATATAAAATATCCTGCTAGGGATATGTCTGCTTGTCCACCCTCTGAAAAACAAGAATGTGAACAACATGTGCAGTTTGAACATGTGAACCACATCACCACCACACCACACATCACACCACTCACCACATTAGGTGAGTACAGTCACTAAGTGTCTTAAGTTGTGTGACAGCATCAGAAACATTTGAGACACATTTGTCACGTATGGTGTTCCCAACCTGCCTTCTGGGGTCAGCTATGTTTCCTGGCCTCAGGTCTCCATCATTTGAGGATACATGCCACCAAGATGCTTTACGGAATAGTTTAGGCAAATGTGTGTGGCATGAGGTGTTGGTAGGAATGACTGTGTGAGGTGAGGTTGAGCACCAGGGGTCTAGGAGCCTGGTGTGGGGCCGGCACCCCCCCCCCTCCCCCCACCGTCAGGATGCTCCTCATTATCATTCCTCACTCCTCGCCCATATCTCTGCATCCCTCTCTACCCCCTCCTACCCTCACACAACACACACACACATTTAACACTTGTAAAGTGTCCCCACTCTCTCTTCCCCTACGCTCCAGGAAGGACAATGTGGAGGTATTTAAACAGTGACAATAATTACAGGTTGTAGTGAGAGGACTGTGGTAGTACAGTCACCTGCATAGTCTCCAGGTTAACCACTCCATCAGCAGCACAACATTTGCAGCATACACCAAACTTGTCAACGTGCAGACAAATACCTTTACCAACTTGCACAAGAAAGCCTTCCAAATGGTTTGTACGGACCAACTGGAACACGTAGCCCCGGTCATGATACCCATTCTTAAGGTGTACTGTTTTCACATATCCATACATTAAAACATTGATTGTAACCATGATATATATGTGCTTCAGCCTACAGTTTAGACCTATTGTCTTATGTATGACCCTCTGTCCTGCGTGACAGTGAATACCAGCATTATTCTCACTTTAATAAGACTATCAAAATCCTCAGATTAGGCAAAACTGTAATTAATTTTGTCAATAAAGATGTTAATAATAAAATAACTTAATTAACGGCGCGGCAACACCTTCACCTGCCTCCTCCCATGGTATTTATATGTCAATAAACTTGTTTCAATTTCAATACAGAATAATAGAAAAGGTTCAAAGATATGCACAAGTTTCATTCTTGGGTTATAAGACTGAGCTATGAAGCAAGACTGAAGGAACTCGATCCCAATACACTGAGTAAGATGAATAGAATAGACATGATAACGACACACAAGATTCCAAAGAGAATAGACAAGTAGAAAGAAAAGAATTGTTCAAAGTTAGAAAGAATAAAACGAGGAGAGAGAAATGCAAACTGGAGGTCACTTGGTCACACATGTCACTACACCAATATTGTCTAAATATGACGAAGGCAAAGCAGTGACTCTAGCAGCAATGGCCGGGACGAGGGAAGGTGTCAGAGAGTAGAAGCTTCCCATACACCAAGTGTAATTATGTACACCGTACAGGACACGGAGGGTAAAGTACAACATAGCAGAGGTACTAAAGTACCTCTGAGCGAGGAGAGTACTCATCCAGGTACTGAGCCTCCAGACACCTCAAGCAGACTCCCAAACACCTGAGCCATGAGACACGTCACACACACACACACACACAGAGTAAGGGGAGACATGATAACCACCTACAAAATTCTCAGGGGAATTGACAGGGTGGACAAAGACAAACTCTTCAGCACGGGTGGGACACGAACAAGGGGACACAGGTGGAAACTTAGTACCCAGATGAGCCACAGAGACGTTAGAAAGAATTTTTTCAGTGTCAGAGTAGTTAATAAATGGAATGCACTAGGAAGTGAAGTGGTGGAGGCTGACTCCATGCACAGTTTCAAATGTAGATATGATAGAGCCCAGTAGGATCAGGAATCTGTACACCAGTTGATTGACAGTTGAGAGGCGGGACCAAAGAGCCAAAGCTCAACCCCCGCAAGCACAATTAGGTGAGTACACACACACACACGCACCTGAGCAATGATAAACCGTGAGAATTTCCCCTGGAAACTCCCCAATAAACCAGACAACGAGGGCTAACAGGCTGCCCACATACACATCACGAACATCGTCACATCCTACATTAAACCCAGGGAAATCACTTCGACCTGCTTAGTTGAACAACCCTTGGTAAACCCCCAATAAAACCCCATAAACCCCCTTGATAAACCCATAATAAACCACTCGCTCTACCGACCTACAGGAGGCTGTCACATTGTTTTATTTTTTTGTGCAAGAATTGAGGAAAAACTTGTTTTGAGCGGTGGGACGAGGACAGGTCTCCTCGTCGTCGTCGTCGTCCAAGACTCGTTAAGTCCCTCCCGGACACAACCTCTCGTCCAATATAATAAAGCATAATGGGTCGCTACTTAAGCAACATCCGCACCACTTAAAGTGTTGCTAACTACCTTTATTTACTGCGTTACCATCTTTATCACCACTAACCTCACAACTGAACGACTAGTCCCGTCGCGTAAACAATATCCTGGCCACTACCTTGACAAACCCTACCTGGATCCGTACACGAAACTACAACAGCTGCAAGCGTGCGTGTGCGTGCGTGTGTGGAGGTAAGTAGGAGCCTTGTGTGTGTGGTGATGGACCAGAGGTCTCCAGGTACAGGTGAAACATTAAGCAATGTCACAACCCATCTCTGGTGGCGTACTGGTAACGCATTCGCCCCTCGCCTTGATTTGGCCCCCAGTTCGAATCCTAGCCATGGAGAATTGACTAGGAAGGGAAGGGAACTATCAGGCGAAAGCGCTGAGCCTTTACGAATATATAGTACTTGGAAGGGATCAGGATAAGGATTTGGGATGGGACGGTGGAGAAGGAATGGTGTCTAACCACTTGGACGGTCGGGGATTGAACGCCGACCTGCATGAAGCGAGACCATAGCTCTACCGTCCAGCCCAAGTGGAAGGTAGTTAACTCCTCGTTAACTCCATTAACTAGGAGTTCATCCTTAATTATTTACCCTTGTTTACCTGGTTGTTAACAGATTGATGCGTCGTGTTCCAGGGAAAGCCAGTGGGCAAGGCTTACCATGAGAGACGGGAAGGTAAAGATCTCAGCTGGCTAACACGAGACAAAGGTCGTCTGTTCATACACCCACCTGTCTTTGAAGCCCCTGGCCGGGCTGGGGGTGTAGAAGCCCCTTGGCCGGGCTGGGGGAGTAGAAGCCCCTGGCCGGGCTAGGGGTGTAGAAGCCCCAGAACCCAACCTTCACACAACTCACCCAGTGCAGTTCCCGCCACCAAGGTAACAGTACACAGGACAATAATAATAAATATACAGATCGCCTTTTTCATGCCGATTCAACGATTCATCCCATTTCTGGTAATTGTTGACAAAAAAACTAAATTCATTTGAATATAAATGTTAATTTCCAGTCACACTGACTGGAAATTTGAGGCAGATGTGGTGCTTAAGGTATGGAGCTGAGTGGGGAGGGGAGGAGCAGTGGGATTATTTCCTGGAGCTCACCACAGTTTCTACACTCGCAGCAGTCAAACCCTGACACACAAAACCCAACCTGTCACAAAATTATTCCTGGTGATGATCGGTAGCACTCATACAGTAATATTGCTGTATTTCCATGACGTATGGTTGGTGAGTGGTGGTGATGATACCAACACTCAGAGCACCGCAGTCAGAGCACTCGACTTGAGAATGGTCCAGGACGGACCGAAACGTCGTCGTCCCTTCAACTTCTAGTGTGTGGTCTGGTCAACAGAGCACCGCAACTTTTCATGAGATATAATCTACACTTGCTGGCTCCTCTCTCACTCCAGGATGTAATTTTAATGTGCACAATATGGAGCCGACCGAACACTTTACATGTATAGATACACCTCTTCTCTCCGTCCGTCCAAATTATCACTTTTCATTTCATTTCTTGAATTGGAGCTCCGAGGTTAATGGTCCAATACAGAGACCTGTCCGCTCGCTCCATTTATGAAGAATTGACTCCCCTTGGACAATAGAGCAGGTCTCAACCCCTCAACCCCAGCCACTGCAGACACGTCAACAGTTCTCAACTGTCTACAAGACAAGACACGAGAGATAAAACCAGTGGTGAGGGGGATTGATAATAGTGTCGGGGGGCTACTCTAGTCCTACGCCTGGCATACAACTTCCTATATAATTGCATACCTTATGTATTGCGCACACACGTGGCACTGCACACACCTGACAGTGCGTGTGCCATACCTGTTGTCAACTTGTTACCTGTGTAGAATATAATTGTCATACTTATTGCTACATGGATTCCATGATGTACGAGCGTTAATCAACGCATCATATCACAATCCCAGTCTGGGTTAATTAGTTATCCTTTGAAGGTGTTCATAAAAGTTCTTGAACACCGTGAGAGGCCGGCCAGTTATGCCCCTTATGTGTAGAGGGAAAGTCTTGGGTCTTTGAGGTTGATAAAGTTCTCTCTCAGCGTACCTATTGCATCTCTGGTGTTCACTTGGCCTAGTTTGCAAATACTGTCATGCCTCCTGGTCTCTAACGTCTTGAAGAGTATCATCACTGGCATGGCATCCCTTGTTTGAAAGGTTCGTGTTATTCAACCTGTCATTTTCCTTGCAGTCGTGACAGCTAATTTATAGTGTCCTTTAAAAGATAAGGTCTTCCGACATGATTACCCCCAGAACCTGTATATTGCTTTTTCGT